ATCACAGAGGCAACAGTCTATAATAGTGTCCTCTTTTWATACATTGACTTAATCAGCTTAAGAACCTGAATTAAGTCAAAACAAGACATCACTGAGAATGGGGAATCCCTTAATTATGAAAAAAACATTGCCCAATTTTAAACTATGAAGTATGAAGKAAGTGGTTCTGTTAGGACAGTTGTTTCTAGGTATGAGACAAACCCCATCTTACGACCAACATGARCGTTCCAAAGATGTATTTTGCAGTGTGCTTTGTGTTTTCAGACTCCCTCCAAATATTGCATTTTTTATCGATCCCCAGGGGTATTTCACACCGATATTATTAGTATGACGTAGTAAAAAAGTTAGTCTTTCACCATGTTTTTGACTGAATGAATTYTGACATTTCTTCTTGCAGTTTATGGGTGAGTAAAATGTTACTGTATTTCARCAAGAGTAAAAAGTACATTCGGGCTTACAGCACTCAACCAAAGGTAGGTAGCACTAAAATATAATAATTTGTCTAAATATTCAACCCATTCTCACTCCTRAGTCATCACATATTGACGCTTTTCCRAAGTTCCCTCTGCGTCCAATTTTGACGCGTCGGGTACTCCCCTTGCATCATTTTTTGACGAGATGGGACGGAATCTGTTGTCATAATTTCTGAAAGTGTAGAAAATGCRYAAAAACTACCATCCCAAAGCCTAAAATTACCTTTATTCACTTTAGACATCCTATCCCTGACCCCAGTACCTAAAATTAACCATTTATCCCRATCCCTCATGTTAACCTCAGACCCCCGACCCAAAGACCCCTGGTGGCGCAACCCGGAAAAGCCGAGGGTGGCAAGGACTGACGCGAGGGGGTCACCCGAYGYRTCAAAATAAGAWGCAGAGGGAACTTTGGAAAAGCRTCAATATGTTGACRAGTCGGGAGTGAGAATGTGTTTAAAAATTGATTGACTTTCATGACAATCTAGAACATGTTTTTTTAAAGTTCAAATTTAACAATTCTATGGTGGATTCACAACAGCAACATTTTGTTTTATCTTTGATCCCCAAATGACCAACTTTTTGTCTATCTATGATGGTTTTAGATTATATGGTTTTGTTATTAATTAATTAATAATAAATACAGGTAGCCAATGTTAAGAGCAAGACATTTTCTCAAGATACAAAGACGTTCTGTTCATTTGTTGTTTGTTACAGAATTATCACAAGTTTTCTGGGTTTTTGATGTTAAAAARGCAGAAGAATTTTTCAAGACTAAAATTGACATAATTTCTTTATTTCATCACTAATCTAGACAATCTTGGTTTTGATCTCTTAGTTGTTTTAACCTCTATCCATCGCACTTGTAAAAAAACATTTCATTGACTTTTGACTATTTTGTCTCAAATAGTTTTAAAGAGCAGTCAGAAACATTATTCAGTTGTATARCTCATGTTATACAACTTTTTCGTGGGAGTTTTACTTTCTTGTATTCATCTTTCCATGTGTTCCTTTGTGCYGTCATTCATCTGCCCTCATTTAGCTGCCAGTTCCTCTGTGCTTTTCCCATTTAGCTGGCCACACGCACCTGTTTTTATTCACCAATCAACCCAGGTGCTTCCACTTTTCTAATTACCCTTTTATATTCAGTGTGTTTCATCGTTCACTAGTTCAACATTACACATGTTAAATGTCGTCTTGGGTCTCCTCTGGTTTGTGATCGTGTTGCTGCCACATCTGCTCTTTATTTTTGTGAGTTTAATAAGTTTATTTTTTTAGCATCGCTGTGTCCAGTCTGAATTTAGGTTCATTGTCCTGCAACCTCTGACAAGAGAAGAAGTTGAGGAAGACTCARCCATACCAATTTAACCTCAATATCTGTTAAATTGACTGCTTGATTTTGTTCTTGATAATTCAAGTAGCTGTGGTGGCCATCTGGAATCAACTTGACTCAAATAGTTAATCAGTTGTAGACAAATATCTAAACCATTCATTATACTGGTTCATTTTGTCTCTACAAACACGTATTTACATAACTGCCCATTTTTATGAAGGTGGCTSATTAAAAATGGTTATAACTTAGCCATTTCTATAGATACTGAGCTGACATGTAGTTTGGAAGTAGCTGAGAGGTCAACCCAACAAAACTCATACAGCTAAAGGGTTTAATAACCGAGACAGAATCACAAACTAAACTGCATATTGTAAATCCTGRTCCTAAGCAGTCTGTATAGTCCTGAACAAAACAATTCCACTTACAAAGCTAGATGGCTATTTTCTCTGCAGAATGACCATAATGTGTTCACTTTAAGACAATTTGACAAAGCGCTATTCTTTCCTGAGAGTCAATCTGACGCCACTTGACGCCCTCCAGTCTGGAGGAGTGGATGGAATGTCTGCTGATCAGCTCCTGAATCAGATGAGTTTTGTCTATCTAAATCACATGCTGTCCACTGCTGCCAGAATAAAGAGGGAAACTAAAAAAATGGCTTAGATTCAATGGATGAATGTCCAGCCTACATCTGAGTCCATTCCTGACATATTTATTGGGGTCAGGGAGGAACATTCCTGACTGACAGCCATTAATAACATTTGGTTACGACTCTGAATGGCAAAAATATCGAAGTATGCCGCAAACAGCTGGACAAATAGGGGATTCTTTTCTGTGTTCTGTCACAGTAGATGTGAGTCGTGTTGATGATAGAAACACGAGACTGGCCACCGCTTCTGAGTTCTGCGAGATTAAAAAGTAAGTCAGGCTTGGGTGCAACAAAGCGAATGAACACATCATGAACGGTGACCACGTGTTTCTGTCATCAGACTAAGCAAATTTTATTCATTCACTTGTTTTTACAGAAGGWGTCGCAAAGTCTTCCAGAAACTAGAAATGATTGATAAATGATTACCAAAATGTGAAGTACCATGCAAAAGAAATGTAGTTCACACACACACACACACACACACACAATAACTTTTAAGCAATAGATATCTGCATCCATTGGGTGTTGTGTTTGGAATCACCAGCTTCGTTTTAAGGTGCTAAAACAAATTGCTTGTATTTATTCCTTTCTACACACTTTGCAGATTATTTTTTCTGCACTCTACGTGTTTAATCTGTGCGCACTCAGGCGGGGTGACAATCATTATAGTCGCGCTTTGGAATGAGTGCGCATTCAGCCGTGCGTCGTCGCGCTATGACCGCAGGAGAAACGAGGTCCAGACAGATTTTTGTGTGTCCCACCTGAGCACTGACTTCACCTGCACTGACAGTCGCCTCGCTGCGTGGAAATGAATGGAGGGCGAGCGACGTCGCCTCCCGTGTGTCGAGCCCTTCACACATGCCGCGGCGCGNACCTGCACTGACAGTCGCCTCGCTGCGTGGAAATGAATGGAGGGCGAGCGACGTCGCCTCCCGTGTGTCGAGCCCTTCACACATGCCGCGGCGCGCRCTCTTCCCGCAGCAAGCAGTGTGGTCAGTCGGCCGGCATCCGACCGGAGGACAAACCGTCACGTAAATGTGTAAACAGTTCGGCGTTCATTTTCACAAACCCTAACCAGGTCCGGATAAGTTATGTTTTTTCCCCTCTTCATTTGCGCTCTCAGCCAGGCTGCTTCCCACTTCCTCTGTTTTGACTCCAGCCGGTTACATCATCAAAAAGARTTGCGCGTTTGGCCGGTAGACTACARWTCTCTAKCATAGGACAAATTTATATTGTTTCTACCGTATATTGTTTATATCACGCATTCCTATTTCCCATTGAGGGTCAATTTCCCAAATTGGAAAATGCAATTGGACAACAACTTCAGCTTCATCTGAGTTACGGCACTGCAGGGTTTTTTTCACAAGTCGGCCTGCTGGCTCATCTGCCTCATTAGCTGTGTAGTGTGGGACGAGACTGTGGCAAAGAGCCTCGTGTCCTCTGAATGTTCAGATGGGGACAGAAGTATTGTGAATTTCAAATGAACCATTGAAACAAACAGAAATGAGAGAAWATTCTTCCTGTTCTGTCTTGGACATATTTTAACAGTTACCTGAGCTTTACGTGTTAGTTAGAAACAGCTAAATGTGAGTTTATATGTAAAAAACTTTACTTTTTACAAAAGGCAKTAATTTCTTTAGAACAATCAGAAATGTTTTCAGAAATGTTAGCTTGTAAAATTAAGTTAGCTGTCATTTTCCCTCGTCCTGGCCACACCTCCTCACTCATTCCCCCACTTTAGGCCACACCTCCTCACTCATTCCCCCACTTTAGGCCACACCTCCTCACTCATTCCCACACTTTAAGCCACACCTCCTCACTCATTCCCCAACTTTAGGCCACACCTCCTCACTCATTCCCACACTTCAGGCCACACCTCCTCACTCATTCTCCCACTTAAGGTGTGCCCCTTAGTGTCTCTTGGCACCGCCCACCTTGTTATCATTTTTCAAATTTGCCTGGGGGCGGGGTTATGCTTTCATAGTGGGGATTACTTACACTTTAAGAAAGGTTTGATTGTTTTTGTTCTGTTCATATCGTCAACAGTTTGTTGAAAAGTTGTTTTTTTCAGTGGGAATATAATGGTGTTTAAAACGTTAGTTAATAAAATTCCTATGCAAAACAAATGTATTATTAAACAGTGAATAAAAACGAGGAAAAAAAACTTCTAAAAGTTGATGTTTCTTTACATATTTTCTAGCATTTTTCATGAGTTTGCAAGGTGGGGGCCAGAAGCTAATGCTGTTTGGGGGGGCCATGGATGGCATAGAAAAGTTTGGGAACCGCTGACTTAGACCAATCCGTAACAGTACTAGAGTCAACTCGGTTTGTCTGTTAGCAAAATATCTTACAAACAGCTGGACAAATTTTAATTTAATCTTGCTCAGATTAAAATATCAAAACTTAGAGTGTGAAAGACGTCGCCAAGCACTGGAAAGCATGTGTTTTACAGGTGACATTCATGGGAAGGGAACGAGTGTTTACTAGTTACTGGCGTCAKTTAGCAGAGAGACTCTGTTGTGTTGAACAGGATTTAGCGTAGACTTACGTTTTGTGCAGCGCTGCGATCCTGGAGTTTTACTCCATCCATGACAGCACTGGCCTCCGCAGACATTCACCCTGAACACAAAACAAGCAGATAAAAACAATGAAACTCACACAGGAGCAGACATGTCGCCCAGTACCACCTGAYTGACCGAGCACTCTGTGTCGGACAYGTTTTCTGTCTCTTACTCGTACCAGCATGAAGAACTCAGATGTGTTTTATTGTTGATGCTACAAACTTTACCTGCACATGTACACTATACAATTGGTAAAGAAATTTCACATATAAACTTGAGAGATACTGCTGCACAGTTTAAGCTAATAATATAAAATGTAAAAATGTAAATAAACAGAATGTTTGGTAGTAAATTAATAAAAATAATGGTGATTTGAATTTTATGGCAGCAACACATCTCAAATATCTTGTAACAGAGGTAACAAAAGACTATAAAAGTAAGTGGTGCAATACAAAAAAAAAACATCTGAAGACTAATTTTTCAGCCAGTTAAGTTAAATGGCAACAGGTCAGTAAGAKGATTTGATTTTAAAGATCATTTTAGAGAAGCTGAATCTCTAAGACATAAAGATGGCCAGAGGTTCACCAATCTGCAAAACACTKTATGTAGAAATATTGGAACAGTTTCAGAATAATGCATTGTTCTTCAATACAAAATTGGGAAAACATTGTATATATCATTATCTATAGTTCATAAAGTCATTGAAGACCTCAAGAATCTGGAGTGAAAAGGAAAAGACTGAAATATTAGATATGTGTGATCTTCAGGTTTCACTGCATTAAAAACAGGTTTGATTTTAGTTTCGCCGCACTGGGCTCAGGAGCACTTCCACAAATCACTGTGCAGAAATGGTGGTTAAAGCTCTATCATGCAAAAAAAAAAGAAAAAGAAGAAGAAGCCATGTGTGAACACCATTCTGAAACTTTGTCGTCTTCTCCGGGCCAAAGCTAATTTAAAAGGAACTGAGCTAAAAACAGAAACTGTTCAGCRGTCAGACGGATCAAAGTTGGAACTTTTTTTAAATGGCAGATGCCACGGCCTCCTTTCTACAGAGAACTGGCATTATCCAGCCTGTTATCAGCACACAGTTTAGTAGCCTAAGATGTGCATCTCTAACATGCACACACACTTCCTGATCCATTTAAGCATGTAGAACCTGGTAATGATTCTGATAAAGAGTCATTTGCCGTTGATGGGGGGGACAACAGGAATACCCAGCTGTACTTTATTTACTTATCACCAAGCAGAACATTCTCCCCCGGCTGCAAACTGAGCAGCTGGGCCCAGACTGCAGGACCACCCACAGCCTGGTGGTCCTGTTCGTTACTCCTGCTGCTTGTTTTCCCTGTTCTGGGCCCAGGCTCAGCGCGTGAATAATGTGCAACTGGTACCACCTGCTAAACCAATCTGATTCAAGKGCACCCAGAGCAGCTACAAGTAGGGCTGCACCGATTAGTTGAAATAATCGATGACGTCGATTATGTAAATTTGTCGACTCAGATTTTTTTTATTATCGACTCGCTSTATTACTTAACCACCACGTGAATGTTCATGCTATTCCATTTCGGTACCAAAATGCATCATTGCGACTGTATTGGCATAAGAGTGGTGAGTTTTCCATGCTTGTCCTGAACGCAGCATCGTGCAAGAGTGTAATGACGTCAGCAGC